TCTTATCATCCTCTCCACATGAATCCTTGCTTGAGCAATTCGACGGGTTAAAGTCACTGCTTGTTCAGATATTTTGTTCTTTGCTATGATTGGAGGAGCCAACAAGTATACATGGTGAAGGGCGAGGATGTCCTGAATGTTAAAACCTTTGTCTGCCATGACGTCATTACCTTCCAAAGCATTAAGAAAACCCCTTCTTTGCACTATAGATTGACCCACTATATAATTCTGAAACAAAATTAAATGACAGATCGGAGAGAGGGAAACCAACAGCTTGAAAGTATTTGCTGAGTTGTATCCACTATATGTTCTACTTTGGCTTGATGGATTGGAAGGTTTTTCAATGTAGAATTCAGTACAATCAATTACAGCTCGAAGATTTGGATAAGGTCTGAAAACCTTTGGTCTTCGTAAACCTTCCATTTCAGTTAGGGTAGAAAAAGGTAACAGGAACTGTAACTCCTTCTCCAAAAACAGCACCCAAGTTGTGACTATTCTGCTACAGGTTGACTCAGATATTCCGAAATTGTTGGCCAGCATAAGTAATGTTGGACTTCGCTTTAACCTCACCAATGTCATCACAAACTGTTCTTTAATACTGAGGGTTGTTTGTATCTTCAGTACGAAATATGTTGGGGACTGCACAGAAGATTTCAAGTTTTTTCAGTCCTCCTCAACGCACGCAGTTCTTGAAGAAAAAAATGGCAGAGATTGATTCTAAACGGCAGAAGTTAAAATCTCCTTTGACCACATGCATATTCTCTTGATGGAATGGTAGAATTATTTGAAGCGATCTTTTAAAGCTTGGAATGTATGATGTTGAATGTAAATGGGGATTTCAACAACTCCTCCAGTGATGCTAACATGTATTTCCGCTCCATAAAATCTCCTTTTGAAAGCACAAGTGCAAGAATTACATAACACCATCGACGATATTCACAACCAATACTATGATGAAGCTCTTGCATTGGCAAATAACATTAACTTGAAAGAGAAGGTCCCTCGGAAGAGAAGGTCCCTCAAACTGCTCATGAGAATTATAATGCTTCCACCGGCCGTGATTACTACAGATTAAAATTAAACAGATCGAAATTGAACAGATTAAAATTGAACAGATCGAATATCGGTTTTCATCTGAAATGTCTAATCTTTACAGTGGGTTCTACATCATTCCCGGCATTTTTCTCAATTGCAAAGGTGTTGATTGGAAGAAGGAGTTCATGAAGTTTGCATCTGCTTATATTGATGATATGCCCAACTATTGCTCGATTCATGCAGAATTGGGATTATGGGAGACTAGTTGGAAAAAAGGCTTCGAAGATGTTGTGCATGACTCGGTGAACAATTGAATGGACTTGCACAGATGCATATAAACGATGATATTCCTATTAATCTTGAGGAAGTAATTAATTCGTTTGCCAGACAAAACCCAACGAGAATGCAATTCCTTGACATCCTGGATGATCACGAAGAAAAAGGAAGGAATTTAAGTAATCAACGAAAAACTGTCGTATGATTCTTTACCTTTGAACATTACTAAAAATTTACTTCATGTGTTATCTCCCCCCGTTGGAAGATCCTTTACTTTGAACATTTTACTAAAGATTTACTTTGTTATCTGCTGCTGTTGGAAGATCCTTTGCCTTTGAACATTTTACTAAAGATTTACTTTGTTATCTGCCGCTTTTGCAAGATCCTTTGCCTTTGAACATTTTACAAAACATTTACTCTGTTTTCTGCCGCTGTTGTGAGATCCTTTGCCTTTGAACATTTAACTAAACATTTACTCTGTTATCTTCCGCTGTTGGAGAACCCTTTGCCAGTCTCTGGACGTTTTCAGACGAGTTGATGTAGAGGAGGCAGCTCTTGATCATTTTTTTCTTGTCTTTACGCAGAAAATAAATGGTCGTGAATCATCTTTTCATTTTTCATTGTCTTTGAATGGTGGTATGGAAATTAAGGTGCGTTTGCATATTTATCTGACTGCTCTATTTATGGCATTGAAATCAGGTATGTTCACTATTTTACGCTTGCTTGAATGGTGTGACAATGTATTGAATTTTTTATGTATTGTTGCTTTTTTGTGTGAAATAACAGGGTTTTTTTCTTCATTTTATTCGTGTATTTTTTGCAAACTATTCGCTCAAAATGCAGGAAATTGCATTTGCGGGATCCTAGATTTCAAAATTATGCGGAACTATGCAAATTCTTCTTACAAACCTAGGTTCCTTTCCTTTAAGAAATCCTCTACAACAATGAAAGTAAATGTTTGAAAGTTTGTGGCTTTGTGTTTCATATTCTCCCTTGAGACATCCATTCCCTGGCCATCTTTGACACAAGGACCAAATCATTTGGAGCTTCCAGAATTACACCATTGTGTTTAAGTGGGTTTCCGCACCCAAAACAAACAAACGTTTGACTTGGACAGAACTGAAAAAGATAGCACGAATTGCCCAGGGTTTGCTGTTGGGAAGCTTGGTGTGCAAGGTAGTTGTTGAGCATTATTTGTGTTGCAAAAGTTCAACTCGACGAAAACACAGTATGTTGCTTTGTTGAATCTATTAAGACACATAGCATTGACAAGGATCTTTATGGTACTGAAACAAATAAAGCGTTGTCTGCTGTATCGTCAACTACAGCCTTATTTAATGCTGTGCTGCCGATTTACAAAAGGTTTGCGAGAAAAAAATGACAGGACAAGATGCTGGAGTTGTTTTACGGCCTTATCCCCTGATTGTGCAAGCTTCTGAAATGCAATGATTATAGAATAGCTAACTTAATCATGATACAGCTGCCTGGTTTTTTTATTAGCTCTTTCAACAGGACCAATTTAACACAAAATCAGACTAAGGTGACGAAAGTGCTTCAAAACTTGATCCTGCTGAATATGGTCCCCTTTCTTATATCACCGGTTGTATAGTTAGTAAACTCCATCAGAAAAATAGAGCAAAAAAGGTCAAATCCGATGAGGAAATGCATGCGATGAAATCGACTGAAACATCTCAAGATTTCATTTCTGCGCAAAGCAGGGTGGACTTGTATCGCCCACTGCTGATTTGGCTGGTATTCTAGAAGCTGCAGAGCTGTCTTTTAGAAGCGAAATAGGCAATGCAAAGGATATACTGAGAAACATACCAACTGGCTTGATATGTAATAAAGTACTTGATCTACCTGTTGTAAAGACCTTGTGGGAGAATATTGTTATGGTATCTGGTATTGACGTTTCATCGCCAACTCAAAAGTTATGCTTAGAAAATGTCATGAAACTGTAAATAGGAGTAAGATTGTTTTTGTATGTTCGTGACTTTGTAACCAAATACAAATTAAGTGGGAAACAAACTAAGACCAAGGCATTGTGAAAACAATTAAAAAAGTCAGATTGGAAGTAAACATGTACATAAATGTTTCATCAAATTTTAAGAAATTAGAAATTAATCCTTTAAGAAATTAGGTTTAACCTGACATGGAATTTGCCCAAACTTTTTTGTCATACGCACAAAACCCACTAATAGGGATACTAGTCATCCTGAATGTTTAAAAATTCTCTTGTCTTAATTTTCCAGCAATGTGTTCATTTCCTATACCAGGGCTTAAAGCAGCAGTGCCACCCGCTGCGCATCGGTTCGGTGCATAACATTCTCTCTTTGGAATCTCTCGGAAACAATCGTAACTTGGATTATTTTTTATGAAGCAAAGCTATGGAAGCGTCATCAAGTGAGGTAAACATATTATAAATGTGGATATATTTATTACGTTTATGTAAAACAGAAAAGCCTAAACAATTGCTTTAACTCTACACAGGTTAACCTTTGCAGTTGCAAACGTTCATGTGCCACAAAGAAAAAAGAAAATTCTATCCAGGTTGCCCATGTAAGACAAAGGGAGTTTTGTCTTCTGAAACCTGCAAATGTGGAACCCGCAAGAATCCTTGCAAGAATAAGGTATGTTAGTAAAACAAATGTGCCTATTAATCTTTCATTTGTTGGTAGTATATTTAACATGACATATAGTGATATATTTCATTTATTTGTGCCTTATACAGGAAAACGTGAGCCAAGGAGCGCAGCGAGACAGATCTTCACGCCGTCCAAACACAAGGAAGCCTGATACACAACAATGCCCTTCTTGTTTTTTATATCATTGGCACTTGGTATATATCTTGCAATGTCCCCCTATAGTTAATTTTTTCTACAACACTGTTTACAGATTGAAGAGATGCATGAAATACTTCTGTAGAAATGTTATGCCTATTATTTGAAATGCATTCATACTGTCAAGTTCACAGGAATTTATCCATACACTTGACGAGGATATGGTTAGAAAACTGGCAATTAGAGGTCTGAAACGAGGAATAGGGAGCATGAATTACATCCATACCCTCCTTATTGCAGAGGATGACCTTGATGAAAGTGCAGGTGATTTGGATCAGCAGGAATCTGGGCCAAATGGGGAACAACAAGATTGTCTTGCTGGATGAGTTTCTGGTGAGGAAGGTCACCCTAGTCAATCACAAGGTACTAGCTCAACAGTGGAAGGTGAAGTTCCTCCTTGGTGTGTATGTTTGAATTGTAGGCCTATGCCTCAAGATATTGAGAACAAGTGCTGCAATTTAAAAACATGCATAACCTCATCATCACGGTTTTCAAACATATGTTTGGGTCCCGTATTTTTGAACTATGCATTTGGAATACAAGCGACATTAGAAATGACCGCGTAGACAACAGTACAAGGGCTTTTCGTAAAGCTGCTTATAGACAGTTCATTTTGGCCCGATATGGATATCTTGGTAAAGGGAATCGGCATGTTTGCCCCTCATGTGTAGTCCTAAAGATACGGCAGCATTACCCATCTGTGACTGGAGTGTACATGGGATACAGAGAACTATGATAGAATAAACAAAAATATCAAAAGTTCACCCTTATTTCATTTGTTTTTGTATATACAGTTTGACAAATAGTTTATATAAATATAATATGGTAATTAAATATATTACAGGGTTCCTATTGAAATCTACTTTTTCTTTGTGGTATGTCCTTTGTTGCTGGTGCTGGTGTGGGGGCAATAGTAGGGGCATTGTTGCCTGGGTCACTGGCATTTAGTGGCACAGGGCAGGCCACACCCTCTTGATCATACATTCTGTGGTTGAGAATCTTTGACATCATGATTGGAATGTATTCATATCTCTTCTGAACCTTCACATTCTTTAGATCCCACTGCCTGGTCCTTCTGTTATACCTTCTTGTGGTCCTATCCTCACCAGATTTGCTTTTAGCAATTGGAATATTGAGATGGTAATTCCAATCTATTGCTCCCAATTGCTTTCGGGCTTTATACACTCTATAACTGATGTATGAAATTATGTACTGTTTAAGCATATACACAATACAATTACTGTACACACAACAAATGGCTTAATGCATTATGAAACCACAGTGGGACATACTTAACAACCAACCATGTGATTTTATATCTAAATAGAAAAGCTTTGGGCCTAGTAATAAAAGCACAGTAATGCTTACCTGAATGGCACTCTCTTTGGTGCATACATTAAACTAAGGCTGTTGGCACATTCTATTTCTCCAGTGTGTCTGTCAAAAGCAGAAAAAGAGTATGACATACTCCAAAAATCATAGTAATTTATTGACAATGAAGAACTGTAGAACCTCCTAATGCACATACCTAAACCGTGTATAATAGCTAAAGCTTTCTAGTAGCTCTGGGTTTACGATAACCTTCTGCAGTTCAGCAAAATCCTTGTCACGCCTATCAAACCAGGGAAGGGTTTCACTGTGCTCGCCTTCAGGATGTTTTTGCATTTGCCGCCAAGCCATTCATGGGTATTGCACACATGGTGCAATAATCCTATCCACATGTCCTGTAGGTTGTTTAAAAGGTTAGTGGGTTAAAACACTATCAGCTGTACTCTGTTTTAAAAATTATTTGTCATGTTTGTCCGCATGGCAAATAATTTTATTTCAACTGGTGATAAACTACCTTCAACAATTTTATGCATCTGCATCTGAGGTTGATTCATCTTCTTTGCATTCACTGGACCAAAACCAAAAATGGTGGATTATGTGGCTTGACCAATCTTTTATTTTTTTACTGCCTTTAGTTTTCCAATCTAAGATATAATAAAATATATTTAGCAAGGAAAATACAACAAATTGTAAAAAAATTGTTAAATAACCCCATTATTAAGCCATTAGTTGTGTCAAATTTTATTCTTTCACTTGCCAGGGTCATTTACTCAGTTATACCTCAAGTGATTTTATTTTTTAAGAAGGAAGTCTATCACCACTTTAATCAGTTTATACAATCAACAAATCATTTGAATCTTTATCAGGAAAATTGGTCTAACCTTGTCAAGACACTTTTTTATTGACTTTGCCTTGTGCCAAACATCCAGACTGTGATCTCTTCAATCCCTCCACCTCCATATTACTTGACACCAAGCCAACATGTCGTTTGTCCACAATTTCAACATATAATATGTACTTTGAGCTCTCTTCAGTGATGCATTACCAGAAATTTGCGACAAAATGGCCTCTGACTTTGCTTTTTAATGTATTCATATCGTTCAAAATGGCTGCCCGTTTATTAGGAATTGTATAGGAGAAATAAACATAATCAAAATTTCGATGTTTGTGGTAATATGTGTACAATTTGCCGACCTCTTAATGAAATCAACAACACCCCATGAATAATGTTGAATATTATTTAACGAAATTGAGTATGCACACAACTCGCAAACTCAAAGTTTATGATAATAGATTTCCCCTATTAAAAACAGACATATTTGCGTTAAAATGCTAAAATCGCCTACCTTCTCTGCCCAACAGCAGATTCCCTAATCGACGAATATCATCTGCCGACCTCTGGTAAAAATCATCCATATAAATACTACAAATATCACCAAATATAATCCTTTATAAACTGACACACGATCCGCAAAACTTTGTTGAAAATACCAATAATTCATGGTCCAGACAACAACATAATTTAGCGACATGCACAAACGTTTTGTAAACATCTTTTAAGCAAAACTAAAACGACCCTTCGATATATCTCTTCTGGCAGCCATGTTTACATGTGTATTTTTAACCGCTTAACAGTGCAACAGTGGGCTCTTTTCCTTATTTACCCGCGGTTTTTCAAAATGTCGTCAAGGTTGACTTGTCATGAAGACAACAATTTTAAAAGAAATTTGCATATTGTCGAACCTCCTCTTTCATATATCAGGAAGCAGAATGCAAACAGATTTGAAATTGCGTTTGCTGTGGAAATTTCATATATTTTATTGCAATTATGGCATAGTATGGTCAACAGAAAAGATAGCGAAGGTAATTCGTCTGATTATATTGACATGTTGAATAGTTCCATCCCATGCAGATGGTTCCAGATAAGCAGAGCAACTGGGTTTAGAATTAATGGGAGATTGCGACGAGAAGCCGGTGCTGTTGTGGCAAAGTATAAAAATGCTGGAGGTGGGAAAATCAAACAGCTCAATGACAGTATATTTACATTGAGCATTTTAGTGAGTGAATTGGAATCAGTTGGAGAGGTACAAGATGACTTGAATCAAGCTAATATAGAACTGAAGGAGTGGCGGGAAAAATGTGAAGACTTGCAGAAAGAGAAAGAAACTTTACTGAAAGAAATGGCAGAGGCATTAGCCAGGAAAGATGAAGAAATAGAAAGTGCAAATGAACAAGTCTTAAATTACATTGAGAAAATAGCACAGTTGGAAAAATCAAATTTTGTTTTGCCTAATTTTGGTAAAAAAATTAACCAGCTGGGTAAACGACAAAAACTAAGAAGAATAAAGGAATTAAAGGATAGGGCAGACATTGCATTGTGGTTTCTTCAAACCCATGGGTTGGAAGTGTCCTGTCTTAAAATGAAGGAGTCTGAAACAGGAAACGTATTTACATTTGATTATAATGAGAAAATTACTCCAGATGACGATGAAAGCCTTGAAGAGCTTTTATTTTTGCTTGCATGGCCAGAAATTCGAGACATTGAGCCAAACTTGGTACAGCGGAAAACCGCGAAATTTACGAAAATCATTCAAAATGGCGGCTAAACGTCCACGTCCACGATTAACCAACTATGTCGAGTTAAACAATTTTAGCTCAGTTGTACTATATAACAGTGCTCCACCAAGGAAACGAGGGAAGATATATGAAGTAGAAAGGATTATAAGCAGGAAAAAAGAGAAAAATGTAAGCTGAATGTATTGATTTCTTCCATATTGTATGTTGTTCTATTATCAATCATGCCTAGTTGCTTCCAGAGCTTGATATTCAGTGATTGTGTATCAATGCGAGTATCAATGTTACTATTGAAGATATAATAATAAATAAATAAACCATGGCCATGGGCAATGTTTTGTAATAGCCCTCAACCAATTGTTATATTTAATATGCTTTATATTGATAATATTTTATAGGACTTTTCATATCTTATCAAATGGGTAGGGATGGTCAATCCAATCCAGTACATGGGAACCATCTGTACACTTGACCAATGATTTATTGAGGCAAGTTGTGCAATTCCGTTTTTAGTTTAAAAATCATTCTGAATGTTTATAATGACAAAAACTGTAATTTATCTCTAGGGGTTATGAAAGACCACCCAAACCCACCATGGCTCGATTGGAACACGCAACCAGAGCGTTTTCTAGTGGCATTTCTGGCATGCTAAAATCAAAAGCACTTGCGAATTGCCTCATTGAAATAGACCTGGATATCTGGCAATATATTGTCCAAGGTAAAGGAGTACAATGTGAGCACCGAGGCTATTTTCTTTATGAAAGAAGAGACTTTAACAGATTCCACATGCTTCCGTCTGATTGGTGGTACTACTTATCAGAACAAGGTGAAGGCAGAAAAATAGATTTCCCTTTGAAGGCTAAGGCCGTACTTCTTTGGTCACCTAAGAAGCATGCTGTTAGAGGCACACAGCTTGTGGAAACACCTAGATTTCCTATTGAGAAAATTAGCATATCATTTGCTAGAAGACCTTGCAATCAGGAAAACATTCTGAACTCGTAATGTAGACTAGAACTTTGATTTTAATGTGTACATACTTCTGATATAATGAATCTAAATATTAATTTAAGTAATTTTTCAGTCTTGGAGTGCTTTTTGCAGAATGTATTTCAACTTCTCAAGTTTCCTAACACGGGTTTGCACTCCCAATTCCTTCAACTTTTCCTTGATTTCTGCAATTGATAGACTTTCAACATCTAAAGTGTCTTCTGCATTGCTTTCCTGCAATGCAGGACAGGAACTAGGAGAATATAACAATTTCCTGCGCCTTTTACTTCGTGCTTCTTTAATTTCATGTGACCAATAATCAATATTCCTTTTGTAGTAGGATCTTGTTGTTCTTTCTTGTTCACTGGTCACCTGTAACCGTTTGCCCACAAGCAGGACATCTTTAGGTGCATCCCACTTGTTTGATTTGGTCAAATGGAATTTCCGTACGTCATCATTCTTCTTCTCTACCCCTTTAAATTCAGTGAAAAGAATTGTTGATAATATACAATACTTGTTCAGATTAGTTAAACTAAACAAATATGACAAATATTACCTTGCCCTGTAAACTTCTTTATACCACCATGTTTCTGCATAAAGTTTGGCACATGATAAACCAAGCAATGCATGTATGGTGTGACCTGTTTCTTCCCACACCCTTCAACTATACCACTAAGCGATACAAATAGCTTAACCCAAGCAGAAGCCTATAATTGATATTAGGAGAAATATACTAAGCATAATATTTTCCACTTTAGAATAGAGCTGCATGAAGGATAGCCTGAAAGCATTTGGGATATAGTTATAACACACACACTGGACATTTTGTTGGCACAAAATACAGAAAGGGAATTCAGAAGCCAATTTCCTGTTGCAATCTATAGCTTCTATTATACGTTGATCATTGCAGGAGGCCTTAGCCAAGACCATAAAAGTAGAGTATCTAACCTGTTTGAACAGTTCATCGATATGTGAAGCTGAAGGATTAGGCTCATTTACCATTTGGTAAATGTGACTGAAATCCTAAAATGGAAAAAAATGTTTTAAACTGTAATCCATAATTTTCTCTCTCACATAGATATTCTCTTGATATAATTTATTATTTACAGTTGCAAGAATACCTTCCACAAACTAATTACAGCATCGCTATGTGTTGCCTCAATGCAATTCTTTAACTTTTCTGGGAGGTGCTTCAATAATAGCTTCTTGTCTGCACCCATTAGGCTAGTAAAATCATATACCCCACTGCCTTTCCCATCTGCATTCTTTTTCTCCCAGACATTAAATGTGACTCCGCATTTATTTATTGACCTAACCAGGTCTGTTAGGTGTTGGTTTGACCTATTTTTGGGAGCTTTGGGTATGTTGTCCTTTATATCCCATTCAAGAGCTTGGTTAATTAAGCTTTTTGTCAACACATCTAAACAGTAAAAGTGTCACATTGCAAGTAAGATTATACTTATCTGAAATAAACATAATATATTATATAAGATTTGGTTTGTTTATTATCAAAACATTTGCCAGAGTGCGCCATGGCTAACCATAGCTAAAAATAATTGAAGTGCAAAAACTGTCATATATATATTTTCCACTAGACATATTGCTCATCATTTAGTTTAATTCTTTATACCTGTGATTCGAAGCATTAAATGTAGTTCATCAAGAACAACATTTTCCAACTTTATATTGAGCAGAGGTTGGAATTGACAAGAAAAATGACCTTTTAAAGCGCATTCTTTTATGTCCTCAATTGATCGACCATGTTGAGTTTCCCAGTAGTTTTGAAGCCTTGACATATCACATCTAAAAGAGTAAAAATATGTTTAAAAAATATGTTAAATAATGATAAACGTACTTTCATGCATAGGGATTAGGTTGCATTGAGACCAGTTTCTAAGTATAGCCACCATGATGAGTGACTTTGTCAATTATTCAAATTAATTATTTTACGTGTGTGTCATCCATATACTACCAACAAGTCGACTCTCATGGAAAGTGGGCTTTAACCAAGCTGAAATTATGACTCACCTGTCTAATTTGAAAATTTTGCACCAAATACATGCATAGTCAGATGTGGCTCCTTTCATGCCAAGTACCAACAAAAGGAACTGAAAAGAGCAAAATTAATCAAGAATTCAACTTCATGAAAAATTTTGCATGATTAATTATTGTATTACCAGACAGTACTTAATTTTGCAAGTATTACCTTATAGTCACCTCCTAGATAAAATTCAACAGGCACATCCTTCCCTTTAATGTTGATTTTTCCTGACTTTACCAGCCTGTTGATGCAGCTAAAGATCTTTGCACAGGAAGTCTTCAAAAGGTCATAATCCTCATGACCTTTGATTACTGCAACTGTGTGGTTCCCTTTGTGTGTAATAAAGAAATAAGAAAATTTGTTATTTTTACTCAAATTTATGTTTTGGCTTGATTACATTACTATGGTATGTTGTCAATTTAGAGCTTTATGCAAAATTTCAAAATATCCTAATCATTGCAAATAATTATAATAAATATAGCCACTAATTTTAAATGATTTACCTTTTGATGACATAACAGTTTCTTCCAGATTAAGAACAGAGAAGCTGATCACAATGAAATTTGTCAATCTTGTCATCTTTGCACCATCTCCACTGACTTTCACTTTGACTGGGACATCTCCTAACTTGCTGTTTGTCTCCATCTAAAGTTGAATGAACAATTAACAAAGATGGTTACATGATTAATAATAATATTTTCAAAATTTGGTTATGAGCAATGATTTGCTATTTCTAATTTTCTATACACAGTGGTTTTGCCCAGCCTGGGACATCACAGCACACACCATCTCTGACAAGTACCTAATAGTTTATTTGAATTTTAATGATTAATTATGAATGACTAAAAGAGGACAAATAGTCTCACCAGATTTCCAATTACGTGGCTCAACTCGTCTTCAAAATTGAGTGCTGCCCCATTTGCATTCCCAGGAGTTCTTTCAATATAGAAAAGCTCATTTAGATCATCTTTGCATTGTTTCACCAGATAAGACCTTGGGAGTGTCTCTCCTCCTGGGCAACAAGTTAACTCATGGTATGCAGCCTCGCCTATGCAAAATTTGTCCATTATGTTCAAAACTTGCTGGATGTCTTCCTTCTCATCACTTGGGAGTTCCTTGTAATTTTTCAATCCCTTTTCATCAAAAGATAGGCAATGAGCTTTTCCAGACTCGTCAATCATTTTCACACTGTTCAACTGAAGTCCAAACGATTCGCTAAACCAAAGTGCTTGCTCGACCCGTGTTGCCAGAGTTCGAAGTTTACGATCTTGCTGTCGCTTTCCTACTTCCAGAAACGTTTTCCCTTTGTCCTCAAACTTTCTTTGGGGAGAAATTTTTTCAATTATATTGTACAATTTGCTATTCTCTCTTTCAAGCTTATCAATGTCAATAGTGGCCTTGTCGATCTTTATTTGTTTTTTTCTCACCAGGTCTGATGCTTGCTTACATTTAATGTCTATGTCGCATTTACACTTTCAAGCTGCGACACTTGGTTTTGCAAGTCATTCACCAAGGTAATAGTGCTAAGTTCGCTATGACGAACAGCGACACTCTTCACCTTCGCAAGTAGGCGTTGCCGAGTCCCCCCATGTTTCCCGATAACTTGTTTTGACACTTTCGTGCAATGTACAGCTCTCCAGAATCTTCAATGGATACTGTTTGCCAATAAATGCGTTCAGTATCTGTACGTACGTGCAGTCAGCCAGTGTTGTTTGCTTCGCATTGTGCCAACTGTTTAGTTGTTCGAAGGGAATGTGAAGAGTAAAGGCAACTTCTTCAGAATCAACATCGGATCTTTTAACCAAGTTTGGGCAATGCTCGCTATCAATAACTATTTCCCTTTTAAATTTGGTATTAGAATATGTACCCAGAGCGATTGCCATAAATTTGCATTAAATTTGCATGCCAGAGAAGGAAAGAGAACGATTCTAATTTCCCGCTTCAATGCGCGATTTGCGGTTACCATAGTAATGAGACAGGAAGTAAACCAACCAAAAAGAGCAATAGATAGACAAAGGGATTGTACGCTGAGCAGTTACACCGCCGTCTCTGTAAATGTATTATGAAAGGAAGCGCTGTTTCTGAGCTTTAATTTGATGTATTGCTCGACGAATTCCGACAAGTATAAACCTAAAAACTTTGCGCTCAAAGACAAGACATTTGCATTTCACCTTCCAAACTTACATTCTCAAAGTATTTCTGTCTTTGAGTTTAAATTATCGCTTTTTGATGAAGAAAATGGACCTGGTTTGTGACGCATATTTTAACAAATGGAAGCGCCGTTCTGTTGTGTATTACTCATACTTCGCAAAGTAAACGGCACAAATGGAAAAGTAATGCAGAGTAACTTGCTTGAGGCCTTTCAATATCATGAAATTCTGGATTTTCGTCAAACGTCCATAGTAGCGTATAGCAATAGTATGCCCAAAGTTCTCGTTCGATTTGGACCTGTTATTTACTATACAAACAATACTTCAAATATAGCCCTATATGACTACTAAGGTATGTAGAACTTTGTATCAACGGCACAAATTTGAAATATTTTGTTGGTAGACTTTTATTGCGCTTTTTGTGAACAGTTACTAATAATTTTATATTGTTGTCAGACGCCATATTTTTGCTGCGTGCGCTTGCGCAATATCGCATGTCTTGAATTTCTGGCCATGGACAAGTTTTGTGCAAGTGATGAACTATATCATGAGCTAACAGTATTCTGCGATGATCTTCCAAGATCATATTTAATTAAACAGAAGCGATCTGACCTTAACAAACTCTGTCATGTCGAAAGTGTCCCAGGCAACTTTCCAGGAGCACAAATTTCATTTTCTACAACACTTAAAGAACACATAAAGCAATTTCTTGAAGATCACCCTGACTATTCACTGAATGAACCAATAAAGGTTAAAATAAGTGGTGACGGTGCGAAAATGTCCCGAACCACTAATTTTATGCTTTTGTTATTTGCATTATTGCAAACTGGTGATCGGGTGATGTCCTCTAAAGGCAACAGAACAATATGCGTAGTTAATGGCCCTGAAAAGTATGGCACTTTGAAAGTATCAATGAGAGATGTCCTCAATGATATTAATACAGTTATACAAAATGGCAAAGTAAAGGTAGATGAAAAAGAAGTTAAGATTGAAATGTTTCTAGGGGGGGATTACAAATTCTTGCTCATGATGAATGGGCTAAGTGGTGCATCATCAGATTATGCATGTCTTTGGTGTAAGGTATATAAACTTCACAGGTGGGACATGTCTAAAGATCTTGATTTTTACAATACAGGGTCTGTAAAGAGAACTCTGTTGAATATAAAAGATTTCCAGACCTCCAAGAAATGTTGCTGTATCAATCCCCCCTTGCTTGACATTGAACTTGATCATGTTATATTGGATGAACTACATTTGTTGTTGAGGATTACAGACAGGCTAACAGAAAATATAATAAATGAAGTCATGCAGAGAGATAGCAAAGCTGATTTCACAAAAAAAAGTGGAGAAGAAAAGGGAATTTACCTCAAACGACTTGTTTCTGTTATTAATGAGCTTGGTATTACTTTTGCAATATGGGAAAAAAGGAATGCGGATGGAAAAGGTAGTGGTAGTTACGACTGGACTAGTCTGGTTGGCTCTGAAAAGAAAAAACTTATCCAACTCCTACCTCTTCAGCTTGAGACAAGGGATATTTTATTTCCAGAAACCAGATCTACCATAGTGAAACTGTGGAGAGATTTTGGCTCTCTCTACAAACTTATAAATATATCTGAGAGGCATGACAACCTTTTTCTCGATGTCTTTCAGCAATCAAAGCAATTTATCGAGTTATTTTGTTCTCTTAGTGGTTCTAGACTTGGGTATAATAAAGCGCGTGTTACCCTACATGCATTCACTTGCTTACCACGTACCAATAATTATTAGAGATCACATATCGTTCAAGCAATTTACAGGGCAAGGTGTTGAAAGGAACAACGATGATGCAAAAAAGGTATTCTTCCAGAAATCCAACAAGTGGGATGGTGCTAGAGATGTTTTACTATTGGAAGCAAGAAAGGAGCTACTTCAGAAATGTGAAAGAAAGAAACGAAAATATGAAAAACAGAACCATGATTATTGGGAAAAAGGAATTGTTGAATCTCGGAAAAAGCGAGTGCGATCCACAAGCAAAGCTATTGAATTGAACAATGAAATTCAAGTACTGTTTGAATGCACCACACACTGGTTTGAATGAAGAGCAAACCATTGATTAAAGAAAATGAACAGTTAAACAATTAAGGCAAGAAATTAAATCAAAACATTTGCAAGTAAAGGGACTATCCAAATTGAACAAAAATCAACTTATAGATGTTCTTCTTCTCAGACACTGTAAGTGATATATGCTTGACTTAACCCATTAAGCTCCAGAGCTTCCCAATTGACAAATAAAATCATCTGGTGTTCGTCAAGAAAAATATTAGGGTGCACTTGGGCTTAATGGGTTAATATACTAAGGTATTAGGTATACCTTGGGGTGTATTGAGCACTCTCTTAATAATTATTATTTATGGTCGATTACATGAATATTTCAGCGCAGGCAACAACTTGCCATGCAATTTACAAATGTTCAGTTCAGTTAACCGTATTGGAATTCAGGCCAAGCTGAAATTGAAAACTCCTAATGTAATCCGTATTATTGATAGTAATAGTTTGGCCTAATGAAAGAAAATTCCTTGGTTTAGTTTGTTACAGTAATATTGTAACCAGAAATTTTAGAAGAACATTTTCCCAATTTTATTATACAACATTTATGTACATTTACAGGTTAACACAACATTTTGTTCAATAGATTTCAAAAACACTTCAGGTTTATGTTTCTGCTATAGAGGCTGCTTTCCTGTTGACAGACATTGATATCTTTTCTAAGGGTATTAGAGGCCCCTTTTCAAGGGCCCCTTTGTTACCAACAATATATCGCTTTGGGTGAAATTTTAGTATAGGCTTCAATTTAACTGGAAAATCCACTGCGACACCCTGGCCCAATTCATCTAGATAATAGTCCCAAAATGGAGGCAAGCAGAATCTTGAAAAATCCTCTTTTTCATACAGCATATAGCCAGCACTAGCACTGATCCCCTTATTCCTGAACACATATCTAATGATATCGTTGTCTATTGGAACTTTTGTAATGAAGTTGGCACGGCATGACTTGGACTTCAAAATACCAAGAACAGCTTCGACAAAAGTTGCAGCTGCTGCATCTAACCGAGATTTGGTTATATTTGGTTCGGTGTAACTCCTTAAATAAAAATTGGCATTTTTAGAACAAAATTCAAGCCAAGGCCCAAGTACCGGTACTTTCTCTGAACATCCCAGCGGCATTGCCAGCTTGGATAAGTTAAGGGACATATTCATATATTTGTGTTCACAGACCATAAAAACAATCGATTTTAAAAGAACTTAATAATGCAAAACACAGATAATAAATATGCCCCCCTCACTTATCGAGGTGGCGACACCACAGGAACATCCCAAAGAAACAACTAGAAACATGTATATTGGATGTACATGTATATTTTTTCATTGACCCAAGGCAATTTGTATACTCAAAAACTAAAATTAAGTTTTTGAGAGCGTCAAAGAATCAAAATATATACATACAACCTTCAATACATACAAAGTTCCGAATAATTTAGTTGTGGAGACCAAGAGTGACTAAATACTTGCCCTTCTAGTTAATATAAGTCTGAGAGTCAAATATTCTATAAATTGAGCACAAAATCGCAGCATAAATGCAAAATTCATACGATATGAGCATACACTCAATTTGTCCGCTATTCCATCACAGTTTGCACTTACCTAATTGCACAATCATTCAAATGTCCTGCAGGTTCCCAACTACACGTCCACGAAGGCCAGTTCTCCCATTTTACTAAGTATTCATCTCCCTAGCAAGGTAAATGTTTGAAATCCGACGTGATATACAAACACGCAGACGATTTGTACCAAAAAAATTGTGTTTGTATACTGTATATCATATGGCATATGTGTTTATATAAATATAGAAACATTTATAATAATTTAAACAGATTATACCTCTTTCCCTTGCCGTTTAGATATAATTCTCTCCACTTTATAAATTTTCCTCTGCTTGTGAACAGATCGATGGAATAAATCAGCAGAACATAAGTTGTTCAATATTTTATAATCAATATTTGCCCGTGGCCTCTGTTGTTCCGCCATCTTGAAAATTTTGGTTGTTGTGAGCATGCTCGTTAGCGATTTCATGTATCCGCATACTAAAAATTTGCAGGCGCGGAATGTCGCAAATTTCTGGTAATGGAGATAACATAGATTCTTTGCATTGAAACCGGGTGAATCACATTGCCCGTCGCCACCAACTAACACTTCTTTGTCTCTGAATTCATCCATTAGTTGGCTTCTCACCCATCCCCACCACTCATCAGCTGCTGGCAAAAGATACCGCCTCTGTATTCTAAAAAATGATGATTTGGATACGAATGCCAGATTCATGTATGTAGCCAAACGATCAACTTTGCCAAAATTGTTTCCTGAAAGCAACACAGCAGCAGCAACTTAGATATTATTCACATACATCATGTTGACTTCATGAGAGGAGCAAAACCGAAAGATGTCACCAGACTGACTTAAATTTTGTTCAATTAAAGTGGTACCAATGAAATGATACTTTAGATTTGGGACATCAAGGCAACCAGGAATCTGACAATGTTTTGCTAACAAGTCCAACATCAAATCGAGAGAGCAAATAAATTGTTGCTCAGTAACCATCTTGAACTCTTTATGCAGTTCATATTTTTCATCTCCTCAACTAAATTTAGGGTGTAGTCCAAACTCAAAATTGTTTTTGTCCTCATCATTAGAGCATGCTT